TCTATATCATTAGTTTTGCAGGTATTGGATAAATTACAATTTTGACCTGATGTGACTCGAGAGGGAAAGTGAGAGGATTATCAAAGATGGAGGGATTCATCATCTGGTAACCTTGAATGGATCAAATTTAGTGCCAGTGTGTCCAGTAGAAGTTGAGATACTTTATTGAATAAGTAAAAACGTTGAGCTATTGGCGGTGATAGAGGAAAAGTCAGGGCAACACCAAAGTCAGTAGGATTCATCCTCTGGGGACCACTTGTTTTACAGGTAACTGTATTTTATCTAATTTGATGGCATGTTAATAAAACTGATAGTGAATTAACATAAGGTGAAACATGAGGTGAAACCTACAGTAGGTGAGACGTCAGCCAAAGTGCAGACCACTGTTCAAGACAAACAACAAACACCAGAACTGGTGATTACTGTGTTTCCAGTGGCTTTTCAGCCTTTTTAAAGACTGGGTGCCTTTAGTGACTTGTTGCTGATTTGCCACTGGGGATAGTGCCACAAGAAGCATTTGTTTTTTCCCTGAGACATTAATGTGTCTCCTGCCAGAATAGTATTTTTTGTTTTCTGTATTTCCTGTGGGCATAGTGCCACAGAAAGATTTGTTTTGTTTTTCAAGCTGAGGCATTGCTGCATTTCCTGCGGGGCTTGTGGCTCCAACACTGGGTGCTTTAAGCCAAAACATGTTTTTTCCAAACCAAAACCAAATGTAACATGTCTGTGGTTTGCAGAAACAGTAAGAACAATGCCAACATGTTTCTGGTGATTGTGTTGCAAAGTGACTTGATCATGTATTAATGTTAAGCAACAGGAAGTCATAATCCACCCTACATTACTTCACACATTATTTATTCTTCTTTAGTTCTTATTATAAAGTTTCACCAGCAATTTTAATCTACATTAATATAGTCCAACAGTCGACAGTCAAACGGAATCCACAACCATTTTCAAAATGCTGATATTGATATTTATTTCAAACATGTAAAGAAAAGACATGAACATACACACGAGCCTTTTAACTTTGTCACACAAAAATAACCTGTGTGTATGTACATAATAGTGATTACCAAATATATATCTTACAAAAACATATCTTAGTATATGATATAAATGACCAGTTATCGGTGACTCACAAGTATAAACCAGTCTGAATGATATGTATGTTGTTCATGGCAATGGCAAAACATCTTGAAGCTCAGGGGCTGGATGCACAAAATACCCTAGATTTTCTCCTTAAACATGACACTAGGCAGTGGATCCCAACCGGGGGGTGCGACCCCCTTAGGGGGCCCACCAAAGAGCACGGGGCGGTCACGGAGCCCTCTTGATTTTAAGGGGTGTCATGATTTTAATGTGTTATGTGTCATTTATGTTCATTAATGTGTCAAAAACAAATATAATTAAGGGTTATATTAAAGCGTATTCATTTATTAAAAAGATAATTAAATTAATTAATATAGAAAAAATGTAAAATATGTAGCGCGAGGATACGGGCGTGTGTAACGTGTGTACGAGGGGGCACCACAGTCTACAATGGTAAAAATATTGGTCCCTCAAGATAAAGGTTGGGCACTGGACGCTTAATTTCCCCTTAGCTTAGGGACCTACATAAATGTGGTGTACGGAAAGCCTTGAAATGTTTCCTTAGTTAAGGTAAAAAAAAGGAACACATTTACTACACTGAAAGAGATTTTACATTGGTAAAATGTTTGTTTTGAGCTTGTGACACCTAACTCTGCGTTCACACCGGGCGCGAGTGAAGCGAATTATTCGCGCGTAACGCGTGAGTTTGGACGCCGGACCATTTTGTTAATTCACGTTATCGTGTCAGTTGCGCGAGTAGCGAGCCCGCCCATTTTCACTAGATAACAACATCTGGCCCGCCATTCTCTCCTCAACCATGGCTGAGATAACCACCATTGTGGCTTTGTACCTGCTCTGGAAGTCCCAGATGCGTCGGAGGGCCAAACGCTGTCGTTTTTGGGTTCACCCTATCCTGCAGAAGCGCATCCAGCTCGGCGAGTTTCACCGCCTCCTCCAGGAACTCCGTCTGGATGATAGCCGCTTTCAGCGGTACTTCAGGCTGACTGGGGCCCAGTTTGAGGACCTGTTGGCGAGGGTTGGCGCCAGGATCTCCCGGCAGGACACCAACTACAGGCACTCCATTTCAGCTGCGGAGCGTCTGTCCATCTGTTTCCGGTGAGTAGCAGTTTATTGTTGTGTCAACAACTGGACATCAGGGCGTCAAGACGTCACTGACGTGTTGGGAGAATCTCAACGCTGATTGGCTTTCGCTGCACAGCGTCACGCGAATTTGCCTCAAAAGTTCAATATTTTCAACTCGAGTGATGAGGCGCTGAACGCGAATTTTCGTCCATCGCGCTGCCCGGCACGAATTCGCATCTAATCGCGTCTTTGCATTGACTTTGTATGTAATCTCGACGCGCGAATTTGCGAATTCGCACTTGGTGTGAACGCACAGTAACAGGGGCGCGAGTAAAATATTCACCATGCTCTACCCGTGCGAGTTTGACTGCTGGAATATTTGTTTTTACTCACTTCATTCGCGCGAGTAATAGAGTACACAACAAACACACAAACATGAATTGTTTTGGTGCTAGTAAATCAGACAAGTATGCCGGCCAGAAAGCAAGCTATATCGGTTGTGCTAACTGGGGCTAATGCTAACGCTAACTTTGTTGATCGAAAAGTACAGCCGATAGTTGGAATCAATTTTCAAAACTTACCAGGCAGACCGACCTCCTTACTCACTCGCCAGGTCTTTCTTGGTCCGAAGCTTATAATTTGGGGACGTAACGTCATAAAGCTCAGGGTGGCCACAAACAGCTATTATTAGCTTGTCCTCCATTTTCGGAACAACGCGGGGCAGGGGACGGGCGGGACAGCAGCACGTCAGTGATGTCGGTGACGACAGGAAAATCTCAATGCTGATAAGCTGCCCCGACACAGCATCAAGCGAATATTTTGCTTGAGTTCAATATTTTGAACTTGCGCGAAGAGGCGAATGACGCAAATTTCGCGTTCGCTCCATTTGCATCATTCGCGCCGACGGCACAAATTTGCATCTATTTGCATCTTCTTGTAATCTTATTGCATGAAAAATTTGCCTCGCGCCCGGTGTGAACACACTGTAAGGCCTTTTGTCCTATAGTTAAGGTAACTTTAAGGGATTCCTTAAATATAAGCAATGTAAGTCCAAGATAAGGAGATACCCTTAAATACTTAAGTGAACATATAGAGAAAACCTTGAGGAGGAGACTTAAGGGTGTTTTGTTCAACCAATTTTATTTTAAGGATGCCTTAAGTCGGGCTTTAAGGATAATCTTAACTCGGAACTTAAGAGTAGGCTATATTTCAACCAATATATAGTTATTAATTTTAATTTAATTTTAGCCTATGTACGGAAAGCCTTGAAAAGTTTTCTTAGTTAAGGTAAAAAATGAACACATTTACTGCACTGAAAGAGATTTTACATTGGTAAAATGTTTGTTTTGCGCTTGTGGCACCTAAGGCCTTTTGTCCAATAGTTAAGGTAACTTTGAGGGATTCCTTGAATATAAGCAATGTAAGTCCAAGATAAGGAGAGACCCTTAAATACTTAAGTGAACATATAAAGAAAACCTTGAGGAGGAGACTTAAGGGTGTTTTGTTCAACCAATTTTATTTTAAGGATGCCTCAAGTCGGGCTTTAAGGATAATCTTAACTCGGAACTTAAGAGTAGGCTATATTTCAACCAATATATATTAATAATGTTCGCCTATATATATTATGTCACATTTTAAATTCTGATCCCATTTGTCACTGATCAGAAGTATAAATGCTGCATTTTCTCAGACTAATAAATGTTTTAAGGGTCTTTCTTAATTCATTCAAGCCGCCTGCTCACATGATCACATGATCACATGATCACAGCCATTACAACATTCATGTTCAAGGAGTCTACAATGGTAAAACTATGGGTCCCTCAAGAAAAGGGTTGGGAACCACTGCACTAGAGGCTTCATTTCCCTTATCTTAGGGACCTACATGAATGCGGTGTATAGAAAGCCTTGAAAAGCTTTCTTAGTTAAGGTAAAAAATGAACACATTTACTGCACTGAAAGAGATTTTACATTGGTAAAATGTTTGTTTTGAGCTTGTGACACCTAAGGCCTTTTGTCCAATAGTTAAGGTAACTTTGAGGGATTCCTTAAATATAAGCAATAAAAGTCCAAGCTAAGGAGAGACCCTTAAATACCTAAGTGAAGATATAAAGAAAACCTTGAGGAGGAGAATTAAGGGTGTTTTGTGTTTTGTGCAACCAATTTTATTCTAAGGATGCCTCAAGTCGGGCTTTAAGGAAAGTCTAAAGTCAGAACTTATATTTCAACCAATATATATTAATAATGTTCGCCTATATATATTATGTCACATTTTAAATTCTGATCCCATTTGTCACTGATCAGAAGTATAAATGCTGCATTTTCTCAGACTAATAAATGTTTTAAGGGTCTTTCTTAATTCATTCAAGCCTCCTGCTCACATGATCACATGATCACAGCCATTACAGCATTCATGTTCAATGACCCGTCACCTAGCAACACATCCAGGTAGTCAGGAGACCTGATGAGCAGATATAGTGCGATGATGCAGCTCTGTCCTGCATGAGAACACAAGAGAGACGTCAAAGCTTTGCATCTGTATTCAAATGTACGCACATGTTTGCTCAAGTCATCCTCCAGTGATGCAAATGTATTCTTTGATGTATTTTATGTCTTGTTTAATAAGACGAGTCGCTGCAGAATGAGCCCAAACTTTTATAAAACAAATATAAAATGCTGAAATCTCAGAGTATGATGTAGTAACACACATGCACGCCTCAATGATTCACTCTAAACGCGCACACGCCTCTGACATGATCAGGTACAATAGTGATAATCTGCCCCAGGATGATGTCACTTCCTCTCCCCACACACCGTCCTATAAAAGCGGGTGCTGTTGCGGCGAGGTGTCGGTGGAGAGACCGGAGAGGACGGAGAGGCTGCCGGGTCACCGCTGCCGCTGCTGCTGCTGCTGCTGCTGCTGCGGGAAATTTAGCTCTCCAGAAATACTGAAGGCGACTAAGTTTAGTTCAGGATGCGTCCGTAAATCCACCGTGTGTCTCTGCAAAGGGGTGAAATCACAACCTTCTGATATAAACTGCGCTCATTTTCTATTCCTGGAGAGCTTAATGCGCCTCGTCTCCAAACATGATCGGGAGAGGACTGTTCGTTTTGACCGTACTGTCCAACTGCGGTAAGAAAATGAACTTAAGTGACATCATGATTTAGATCCAGTTTGCTGACAGGAAGCTGCATTAGGAGCAGTGGCTGCCGGGGCTCAGCACCAAGGACATCGACACACACATCTTTTAATTGCGGCGGAAGATGGAGTGAATCACCTGCACCTTTGGCACACTGAGTCCCCTGCTACTGAAACACTCGCTGTGTTTTAGTAACAGGGAGAATAACAGTAGAGCTTCAGGGAATATAAGAATAATGATACTAATGATGAGATGATGCATCTTCTCTTTCTTTCCCTGCAGTTCTGTCATTGCCGGTGACTTCAAGTCAGCTGGAGAATGAAGACGTACAGGTAGATATTTGTCTTTATAAACAGAATTTGCACTTTTATATGCAGCAATATTGCTACTGTGGTTAGTGTGCAGAAACCACAGTAATCCACTTGCAACTCTCTAAAGACAAGCAGTAATGAGAAATACTTAACACAGCCAATTAAACTCACTTCACTATTGGTGCCAATGTCACTGTGACCTTTTTAAAATGAATTCTGAGCACAACCAAGAGCCTCTACCTCCATGGTTACTATCTCTGGATCCATTTCACATCCCGGTGGAGAGAGAGACAGAGAGAGGGGTATTTTCTAGAACAGGGTTTGCAGAGATGAGATGGGAGATACGGCCGATGTGTGACAGAGGGATCGGAGTTGTGAAATGAGTAACATTCAAAGATCTGGCAGGCAGAAGCGCTTTGAAAAAAAGAGAGAGAAAATATGAGTGAGAAATCATCAGGCATGTGGGATTGGCTTGACATTGAAAGCACAATGGGAGCTGAAATGATTTTGATCTCTCATCTGAGAGTTTCACATCTTTGAATTAGTGGGTGAGTTGGCACAAGAGCAGCACTCAGAGAGAAGCAGATGAATTTGAATCTATAAAGCGGTGTAAATTTATTCCCACATACCAAGTGGAGAAGAACAGCCTTCAGCCTGAGTGTAGTAGCATCTCAGTTTACAGTAGTATCACTTGTGACTCATCAGAGCCTACAATTAGAATAATTAACGTCCTTGATGGTGCGATAATGTCGCCGCCATCCAGGAAACTGTGAGAATGTCAGTAGTTGTTACACGGTGTGTGTGTGTGTTTGCAGGTGATGAAATGCATCGTGGAGGCGTTGGCAGACGTGCTATCAAGGCCCCACCCCATGCCTGTCAGTCAGGAGTGTTTGGTCACACTGAAGACAGGTGAGCCCCGCCCACAGGAGGACACACAGGAGTCAGTCTCACAAATATCTCGATTTTGATCATACTGACATCATTTCAGGATGACTGTCATATAAAAGAATGTCTATTTTTATCATTACTTGATGTTTAGGGACAGTTTGCACCAGCGCCACTTAACATGTAAAGCCTAATTTAGTCATAATACCTGTCCTTAGATGGACCTCAACAAGAAAATACACACAAAACACACACCATATGTCCCACTGTGTCACTGAGAACCTTACAAGCTTATTTTATCTTTTTAAAGACACACTGTGCAGGATTTTACTAAAAAAACAGTGTATAGACTCATTTATGACTCACTGATGTTCAACTGCAAGTGTGTGGTGATGTATTTCTCTGCACACACTCTGCCCTCTGCCTGTACATTCCCTTTCTCCTCTCATTTCACTGTGTTCAGGATGTTCCTGGGCACAGAGTGCAGGTGAGGTTTGGACTTTATAAAAAGGTAGCGACCAGGTGTCAGATCATAAGCTGCAGGCAGCCGAGCGGAAACTCAGGAAAAAAAAGGCATATATAGCAAATCTGAGAACTGTCTTTCTCTTTAGCTGATGACATCATTTACAAACAGAAGCCAACAATTCCTTCATATTATACTTTTATATTAACCAATTTAATGGAATGATCAGAACCTCAGTGTCAGAGTGTTAGAGCAGTGGTTAAATGGTATCAGATAACACTGGATACAATCTTGAGAGATCTTAAGAGGCTCAGTCACTGTAGATGCTGCTGCACAGCAGCTTAAATGTGGAAAATATCATGAAATACATCAAACATCTTACTGAAATGATTTAAATAAAGTTTCCTTTTTCCAACTTGCCCACCATTTAAACATGTTTCTCAAATCCCAGGTTGAAATGTAGCATAAGAACAGGACTGTACCCGACTCAGGAGTGTGTCAGTTGAATCAGATTTGACTGTTCAATACAAATATTTGATGATTCATTGATTTGTTTTTTGTTTCTTTCGTGTAAAGTTTGAACAGGATCAGTGTGACAACAGCTTTCACATAATATAGTAAACAAGCTAACTGAGCTAACGATGGATCAGAAATGTGCAGCATGTTTTGCTGGCACTAGATATCCAACAAAAGCCACAGACTGTGTCGTATTCAGTATCCGTGAGCTGTAAATTCACCACTTCTAAGTCTAAGCAGAAGAGAGACGATAATGTTATCTTGGTGCGCTACAGTACAGATTCTCTCCTCATCCGGGCCACTGCATTGTGTCTGCAGCTGTCTGTACCAAAGAGTAGCGTGAAAGTGAAGAGCGCTCAGTCTGTAGCAAAATCTGGGGACCAAAACGTCCGCAGAAGTGCACTGCACAGCACATGAACTAGCAAAACAATTAAAAAACTGACTGCTTGACTTGAAGCAATCTCAGTCAACCAACTGGTGACTTGAATCACAGACTCTCAAGGGTCAGCCCTACATTAGAGAACAATATTTTACTTCATAAACCTGTTGATACATTGTCTATTAACTGCTGAATATAACTTACTGTAATGTGACTTAACTTCTGGATGCTCCCAGAGTTGGGAGGGAGATGGCAGAAGGTATAAGGGAGTGCATATTGTGTATTGTGAGTGTACTGGTTTTAGCTAGTGGCAGTTTGAGGAAGGTTCCAGATGGCAGAGACATAATCAGACAGGATGGTGTCCACAGTTTCTTAATGTTCTCAATGTTGAGTACTGTTGAGACCGAGAAAATAAAGTTATATCACAATGACAAGATAACCAAAGCTCTGCCAGTATCTAGTCTGGTGTTACAACATGCATAATAATCAACCTGCTTTATTACCCAGCTCTACCACCGTGTGTTCTTCCATAAAAATAAAAAAAGTGAGACTTTATTGACTAAAAGATGATGTCACTCTTGGTATTTACATCTTAAATAAACTGCTGAAATACAGTGAGTTTCCTGCATTTTGACCGGCAAGACAGTGTCACAGTTTTAAACTCTAATCTGAGGGAATAATCCAGTATAATGTTTTTGCACATCTGATCCCAGGCTGTCATTTGTATTGTGAGGCTGTATTACAATGACAATACACATGACAATGACGATTATGTAACATGAATTCAAAATGTATTTTCAAGCCCACAAGGATTTTGGTATGTAAGGACGTCTACTTAGAAATAGGAGTTATGTTCAGCTTTATTTCAACCATATTCGTCATCATCACCGTCCTCAAAACCAGGACCAGTACTGAACCAATCAGCCCTCACTGGAGCAGCGGTGCCTCTCTAGGAGAACCAATACATCCTCTCCTTTTTTACCAAGAGCTTGATAAAAAAAAATAAATAAAAAAAAGGTTAATGGATTGATGTGATGGCTGCTGGGTAAAAAGCCAGCGGGGTCACTAACATGAGTAAAGACGATTGGGTTACATAGCCAGTGTGTTACCTTGATGCTGTCCTTCTTGTAAAAAATCAATCACAGCATTACTCACCCAGCGTTTGCTACTGAGAGAGGGAAACTGGACACCACCGGGGGGATGGAAAGAGAGAGGAGAGGGGGAGGGAAGGGGAGTCAAAGTCATGGAAAGAAAGGGAGGCAAAAAAAAGAAAGATCACAGAGTGATATCAGAGCGCTTGTACAGTAGTTGTCTCTTTTGTGCTTGCGGCGTACAGTATGCAGTGGCGCTTGTGGGTCAGCAGAAAGTCCAATGCTCACTGCTGCTGCAATTCACTCAGGGAGTCTCTGTGGGCCAAATGATTAATTGTGCTCTTGCGTTGAAAGCAGTAAATTTCAGGGCAATTAACTCTGACAAACCACTGAGGCAAAATTGCTGAGTCCTTTGAAAAAGTGAAAGGGGAAAGACGTATACCCGTTTTACCTCCTGCCTGTTCTTTTCTTTCCTCAGTGAGACGTTTAACCACTCATTTGCCTGCATGTGTGTGTGTTACGCAGATGACAGGCTTGTTTCTATCCTTCGCCATCACAACTTCCTGAAGGAGCTGCAGGAGATCGCCGTTCAAGGTGAGTCACAGCTGTCTGTTTTGTCGCTGAGCATGCTTGTTTATGTTTCTAAAGACAAGACGAGTCGCAGACAGAAAGCTTGACTAACTTATTTTTAATTGCAGGTGGTCAGGAGAGAGCTCAGCTGCAGAGAGACGCCGGTGCACCTGAATCAACCACGCAAACTCCTCAGACTGCAGATGTTGCTGGTGAGAAGCTCAGATTCATACATTTACACATTGTTATGCCGTTTAGTTCTTCTCACAGTTCAACAATGTTTCTTCCATTCTGAGGAGTATCTCTAATCAAGATTTTAAAATGCAGCAGCTGTCAGAGTGATGCATTACTTCCATTAGTTCCCATTTTATGTTGTCAGCAAAGCGGAGCTGACAAACAGAGGAGATGTGCTGAGGGGAAATTAAACTCTGCTGATGTTTTTGTGAGCAGAGTCAGAACCTATATGAGGTCCATCCACATGACAGCACACCTGGCGTCTATGAGTCAGTGCCAGAATCTCTGTAGACGAACAGCAAAACAATCTGTTCAATAAGGTGCACCAACCCTGACCCTCTGTATGCTCTATGAGCTCTGTGAGAACTGCAAACTGATAAAATGATATCAAATTAAACAACTTCCAGTGCAACACATTTTATATGTGTCTCAAACATCTGAGAAAAAGTGTATGAAAAGGTAAACACACAAACAATGCAGCAGAAATAATGCAGTGCTTTAAACTGACTGAATCTGTCTGTGTTATTTAGCTCTTGTTTTATGACACAACAGTATGTATGTATGTTTTATGTAAATAAACATGAATCTGATTATGCTTTTAATAACTGGCAATGTGTATTAAATGTGTATCTGATAATGAGTGCAGCCTGTTGACACCGGTTTGAACATGCGATGAGATGTGATGAGATTACAAATGGACAGCTCTGTATCTGCGTGTCTCTCGAGTGACCACTTGTGATCAGATCTCACTGCCCCACTCTATTTGCAAATTAACACCTATGTAGTTTTCATTCGCGAAGGCCAAACGTGTTGTTGTTTTCGACCAGTGGGGGGTTTGTGGCGCTCTACACTCCCTGGTGAGAGTGTCAACACTCACACAGTGAAAGGGTTAACTGCAGGCATCACATAGCTTTTAAATCACAGATATTGATGAGTTTTAAGCAACCTTTGAGGTGAAAGTGCCAAAAACTGCAGTTCCTCTAATGGCCACTTGAGGCTGGCTCTAGAAGCGAGTCAATCCTCATAGACTCCCATGTTAAGATGCTCGACTTTACAGCAGACAGAAACATGTTTACAGCCTGGTACAAAAACAGTTTTGGTCTCTTTGGTTAATGTCCCTCATCATGACAACTGTACAAGGGGTGAATGTTTATATAACTCATCCATTTACATTTAATGAATGCTTTAAAGTATGCATGATTGAGTGCATGGCTGCTACAGTCTATGCGTCAGATCCAGCCCTCGCTCCTCCACAGCTCCACTCTCATGTCTAATATGGTTACCTCTGGCTCCAATAAAACAAGATGGCTACAGACTAAATGCCAGACTCAAGGCTTTAAAATGGCAGTCCACAAACCACAAATAATGCCACTGTAGCTACGTATGTCCGTTATTGTATACAGTCTATTAAAGACAGAGTCGAGCTGCACTGTTTACTGTTAAGAGAGGCGACAGGGACTATCCCTCAGTACTGCGTTTACTTGCAGGGAGTCGATAAGCAAGGACATCGTCTAAGTCCAGGGCTCGACAGTGCGAACGTTTCACTCACATTTGCGACTAAAAATAGGTGTGTGCGAACTGTAAAAAATATTTAGGGGCACATGTGCGCATAAAAAAATCAGCCGAAGCAGCCTATATTTTTGTCAATAAATAAATATGATAATCTAACCACAAATGTTGGAGGAACTCCAGCAGCCTTCCCTCTTCCCTCTTCCCTCTTCCCCGTGTGACATAGTTATGGGCGGTTTTCCAAGCCACTGTCAGCACAATAAATATAAGTCCCACTGTCGGCAGGGTGGAAATAAGTCAAAGTGAGGCGGAGGAGACGGACCAGGTTAAGCGGCGGACCTCCGGGGAAGCCTGCTCCGTTCTCCCCGCAGTTAGGGACCGTTCGCCACGGTACCGCTGCTGGGCACAGTGGAAATAAGTCCTGCAGAGTTTCAGAGGACCTGGAGAATGTTTACGATAGTAATAACATTATATAAGATAATCATATTGCAAAGATAACATATATAAGATAATGACATTAAAGACAAAATTAAATTGTATACAAAATGTACAGAAAGGTAAAATCATCAAGTTTTGAAAAAGTATTGTAAATTCATTAAATAATTTTGCTTGTAAATGTCTATTTGCATCACGTTCATTACGGAAAACACATTATTTGATCAATTTACATTGTGCCCCTAAAGTTCTTTGTGCGCTCCTTACTTTTTCAACTTAGGAGCACATGTGCTCCTTGGGGAAAAAGTTAGCGTCAAGCCCTGAAGTCGGCATTTTTCAGTGTTGCCCAGAACACTTTAGCGTTCACACTGCTGGAAGAATGTAGCCGCATGGGGCCTGGACCACCTCTGAAGGTGGTCTGAGTGATTGAATCTCAGGATGCATTGAGGACGCTTTGGGTGCATTCACTCCTTCATGTAAGCTGTCCACTTGTAATCCAAGCACCCAGGACACATGTTAACACCAGAGCCTTTATAGACCCATTCTGACCTACTGTATGCGTCTAATCAAGGATGTATCCGAAATGTTTTCCATGAATTCAGCTTCATATTATTAGACACAGTATTCATCAAAATGACATATTACGTATCAGTGTCACAAATATCGGAGCCAGAAGTTTAAGGGATGAACAGAAAAAGAGTTTAAGAAAATGTTTGTAATGGACTGAATTTGTGTGCATTATTGATCTTGGTATATTGTTTTATAACTGTACCTGCAATATTATTATATTAGACTGTGATACATTCAGTTTTTATTATGTATAACTTTGACTACTTGTCATGCTAATGAAGGGTGGTCAGAGTCAGATTATTGCCACTAATTTACATAATGTCAAATAGCTTTATTACGATACGATACAATACGATAAGATACAAACGATACAGTTTATTGTCCCCATAGGGAAATTCGTCTTAGACTCAGGAGCTGCACAAGTATTGCTGCCTTACAATAATAACTGAGTCCAGAGCTATCAGAGCGGCACCACTGAGAGGAAGGATTAGTTATTTCCAGTGCTGATTACATCCTTGATTAACTGTTGAGTCTAAAAATATCAGAAAATTGTGAAAAAAAGGGGTCATTTAAATATCCCAAAGCTGAACAATGTTAAATTTACAACGATACAAGACAGAGAGAAACATTTCAGAGGCTGGAACCATCAAAAAAAATTACTTAAAATCATATCAGTTAGTTGAATAATCAGCTAAATGTTTCAGTGTCAATATTAGCTCCACCCTTGTTGAATTCTGAAGTGACAAAACCAGAAAAGTAAGGCTCATGTCTTTATGAGGCTGCCGTGAGAAAATCACACAATTAGGCGTCACATGATGCACAGTTGTATTATTGTCACGTAGAATCTGACATAGTGACCCACTCCGTTAGGCGAAAGCTCACAAATATGACACTTAGGACACAAAATGACCCCGGCAATAAAGTGCTGGGCTTTTGTGTAAGCACTTACAACATCAGCGGAAAATCAATGTCCTCTAGTAAATTAAATCCCTACCCCTCCCTGTTTCAGATCGATCCATGTTGGAGGCTTTAGGAGGCCCAGGTGAACGATCCATCCTGTCCCAGAAGAGGAGGACAGGAAATGGAGACAGAGAGGAAGAAAAGCATGTGAGCCTTGGAGACAGAGAGTCACAGGAGGACAGTGACATCGTTGAAGAGGTGCAAGTGAAGAGGGAAGATGACGAGGGCCCGGGAAGTCACATCTCTGAGGCTGCGGATGAGTGGAGTGAGGGCAGGGCTGAAAAGAGAGAGGAAGAAGAGGAAGAGTATGGACAGAAGAGAGCAAATTCAGGGGAGGAAAACATGATCAAGGATAAGAAAGGCAAGTAGATATCTTTTTTCTTCATGTATGCCTCACTCATTGTTTTAATTTGTCTTAATTACAGTTATAAAAAGCGCATAAATAGAAACAAAACAATAAGATGATAGGAAACAAATTCAGATCACGGATGTATTAAGAGACGTGGGCCCAGTGGCATCATGGATGGACTCGAGAGTTGTAATTCCCCTGTTTAACGGCTACAAAACTTGGCTTCAAAGCCTGACACACTTCCTGGGGGCCTGATTCAGATTTAAGGGGGGTAAGATAGGGAAAGACGTCCCCACACTTTAAATCTCCTGACCAAAAGAAGGCGTTAAATCTTCTCCCAACAAGTATTGAAAGCTATGCTCCAGTGAATTGTGCCATCTCATCAGGACTGCTGCATTATTGAGATTTATTCCACCAGAACCATTTTAGGGAAACTATAATTCTTTGTCACTTTTTTGTCACTAGATAATAGTGTTGTATGAATTTATATAATTAAAGTTGTTCAGAAAAAGCTTTAATATATGTATGATGGTGGGGGTTTGTGCAGTGAGTCATTCAACTGTTAAGATTATTTTTCCTCTAAACTGAAAATATAAAGTTTGACCCTTGAGGCAAGACGCCCATTCATAAAGGGGGCAAAAAACAGTCCATGGAAAAACCCCAGGGGCATCCTGCCTCAAAATATAATTTAGTTAGATTGTCTATAGTCATATGTGCCCTTATATAGTAGGCTAAATATCTATAATGGATTTATAATAATACCTTGAACCAGGACGCCAGGCACATGTACGCCAAAAGAAGTGTCTATTTTCTAGGTGTACTTCCATGGTATGTGGCATATTTATACAGTGGTATTTAAACAGTCTGTGTATGCAGCCCAATCAATATGCACTTTAGTGTTTCTCCCACTCCCTCCATTGGTAAAAAATTCATAGTCGAAAGAGTCATAATTGACTTTATGTGCCTGTCAACAGTTTTACAGATGTCTCCTTTGTAATGGTCGTCTATGGGGAAATGCCACTGAGAAAAACTGTCTGCAAGGCTGAGCTATGCTCCTTGGGGCCACATATCTATGTACAGTAGCAGTATAGCATTGTGGTTTCAACAGCTTACTAGCATTATTAGCTAGCTAGCAATCATTAGCATTGCCGATATTTTCAGCTAGTTTGATGTAGGAAGACATTCTGAAACAAAAAAGATTAGCCTGAAGGAAAGGCTGCAAGGCTATACGTTACATATATATAGCAGTAGTACAGTATTGTATGTTTAGCAAATTGTTAGCATTATTAGCTAGTTGGCCTTTAAACATTAGCATTGCTAGCTATCAAGAAGTAGCAAACATTTTTATCAAGCTTGTTGGAGGAAGACATCTTGAAATAAAAAGGATTCGCCTGAAGGAAAGGCCACAAAGCCTCTATATATTACATATATGGCAGTAGCATAGTAGGCTATTGTAGTTTTAGCAAATTGTTAGCATTATTAGCTAGTTAGCCTTTAATCATCAACATTGCTAGCTATCAAGAAGTAGCCAAATTTTTTATTAAGCTTGATGAAGGAAGACATCCTGAAACAAAAACAATTAGCCTGAAGGAAAAGCCACAAGGCCTGTAGATATATTACATATCTATAGCAGTAGTACAGTATTGTAGTTTTAACAAATTGTTAGCATTATTAGCTAGTTAGCCTTTAATCATTAGCATTGCTAGCTATCAAGAAGTAGCCATAATTTTTGGCAAGCTTGATGAAGGAAGACATCCTGAAACAAAAAGGAGTAACCTGAAGGAAAGGCCACAAGACTTCTGGGTAATCTGTTATTAGGTTAGGATTTGGATTTTCCATTCGATTTAGTTAGTTCGTTAGTTTTGAGCTCCATCACTTAGGCAAGATGCCCCTTTACAAGATTTTCATTTCTGTGCTATTACAGAACAAATGGATGGCTACTCTACCAGTTTTTTTGGTATTGTTGGTTTACGCATCATAAACCTGCACATGCTAAACTTATATCAAAATATTTTTCAATTTGACAGTAAATTGACCTTTTTATTGAGGCGGGGCCTCTTTCAACATCTTACCCTATGCTATGTCAGTTTCTGTTTATCAACACGCTCGCCAGATAAACTAAAAGGAAAGCCAAACCCAGATTCACTCTCATTGGCGTTTGGCTGAGCTCACTTTAGTGCTGTGGGGATACACGGCCTTAAAAATCCTTAACACAGAAAATAGGCAGAAAATATGAAAATCCAGGCAGAGGGCAGAGTCTCTGCAGATAAATACAGCACCACACACTTCTAGTGGGACATAAGTAAAGACTGAGAGGGATTACTCTGTATACATTGTTGTTTAGGAAAATCCTGCATGACATAACAACATTTAGAAAATTAAAATATGGATTAATTTTGAGCAAAGGCAAATAGCAGAATCTTAAGGCAGGGAGAGTGCAATGCTTAGCAAATGAGACCGCTTGCCACCACAGGACCAGTTGATTGATGGAAGCGCTTCCATCTACATGATGAAATCAGCCCCCCGACAGGGGTGCAGGGCCAACATGGCTGGCATACTGACAGCACAGCAACACAAATGATTAAAAGTCTCAGTGTCCCAGAATTCAAATGAGCTGGTGTGCACGGTTACAGCTGGAATCATTCAGCGTTATCTCTACCCTTAGATCAAGGCTGCAATCAAGATTTAGATTGGTCTGTCTCTACTTTTCAGCAGATTAACAGAGAAATAATTTTCTGCAGTAAAATGGCAAAGTACAATGAAATACCTATTGTATAAAAGTGAGCCTCTGCCAAGTCATCTGATTGCTCCAGCCATGCTGTTAATTCCCATAAAGCACAGCTAGCAGCACAGCGGCCAGAGCTGCCAGCTGGCAAGAAATATTTCATTACAAGAAGTGGAATCTTGCTGATGGTGGAGATTATTCTGACGGCGGTCTGGTAGAGGTGTTTCAATAAAAAAAAACAGGAAAAATCTCATTCTTGACTCACTCTCTTCACACTCTTTTTTATATTCCCAGGTGCTGGATCTGAACCCAGACACAAATCAAAAGCAAAGAAGTTTGATAAAGAAGATGAAGGGGGGAAAGACAAGAGATCTCCATTTTTCTCACATAGGCCTAAAGAACAGGTGGACGAGATGGAAGAGGAGGAAGAGGAGGAAGAGGATGAAGGAGAGCTGAAGAGAGAGAGTAGGGAGGGCCTACAGCGTTGGACCAAGAGGGGCAAGGCGTTGCCACTAAAGAGAAAAGCAGCGCAGCAGCTCAAGAGACAGCATGAAGTGTCACATCATTCAAAAGAAGACACAGAGGAAGAGGAGGAGAAGAGGAAGAGAGGCATGCAGAGGAGTCCGGAGGAGAAGGAGCTGCAAATGATCGCAAGGAGGGGACCTGAGGAAGAAGGGAGCGGCAGCCGGAAGTCAGAGGTGTGATGCCAATCCCTTCTCCCGCTAAGTGTTTATCAAGCCATGTGAGGTTGTATCATTTAGGAAAGACATGATAATCATCCTGTTGAACTAACATCCTTTATCATGGTTCTCCAACTGTCTTCATCATTTTAAAACCAAAACACAGCAGATGTTGAGAATGACAATTTTCACTCCTGCCTCCTATTAAGAGGCAAAAAATGTTTGCCGCTACTATTTTTTAAAGTTATATAAGAGAGGTAGGGTAGGAGTCCTGCGTAAGCACCCTTACTACTCTTGAAATCTATTTTTGTTATAGGCTGCTATGTTGGAGCAGAGTTTACAGAACGAGTGTTAAGATGACAAAGCTGCAACATTTAAATCCATCCCATAAAAATGTGGGCTGCTCTAACTGCAAATTAAGGAGCCCCAACAGTGAATTGAATATTAGGCCAACAGAAGAACATCTTCTCAGTTATATAACATTTCTTTAGGGTACAGCAAACAGTGTTGCAAACTTGGTGACTTTCTCACTAGATTTAACGACTTTGCAGACCCTCTTTGTGGCTGTGTTTTTGAAAAGCAACTAGCAACAAATTTAGCGAGTTAAAGTTGTCAATGGCATATTCTTAGCTTCTGAGAAAACATTTGGGGCTGGAGCCCCAGAAGCCACCCCCCCACTTCGCACCTGTATGTAGCATCCAGTTAGCCTAGCTTATCATAAGGACAGGAAATGGGGAAAAAGCTAGCCTAGATCTTAACAAGAGTAACAAAATCCATGTACCATCACTTCTTAAGCTCACTTATAAACATTTTATGTCTTGTTTTGCAGGGTGCAGGGGCAATAAATAGTCACATAACCTGCAGTAAAACTATAACTTGTCTTTACAATTCATAGTTTGCACAGATTGAACAAGCTATATATAATATGTTAATTTGTGACCTTTAGTGGTGCTAGTTCACAGCCAAACTTTGTAATGCCCACGCCCACAAGGCTCATGCTGGGACCACCTGAGTACAAAGTGGGTATGGGTTTGAAATGGACATCTTATCTGGAGCCCACTTGGGTAAACCCACCCATGTTGGCAAATGTCATGGGGCCTATGTAGAACCCATGGACAGTCCCATATAGGGCCCATTTTTTAGACCATTTACTATCCACATGGGCCCCACATACAAATTTTGGCTGGATAGGTGGGATTAAGGCTAAATATAGGCTAGCTATTTACCCGTTTCCATTCTTTACAGTAAGCTAAGCTAACCAGCTGCTTCATAGTCATAGTGGTATCTTATAACTTAAATCAACAAAGCAAATACTCAACTATTCCTTTAAATAAAGCATTAGTGTAGTTTATTTTCTACTTAACAAGACTACTACTACTCGTAGTGCTGAGCTGCCTGGTTTGCTAGGGCAAGCCAGCCTGTTCTTATTGTCAACTTAAATGCTGGCGTCATACACTAAGACAAAAAGGCACCTTTTGCTGCAGTATGATAGGTCGTCGAAGCAGCGTCTGTTTATAATGTCGCTGGACGGCATCAGTTTAAAATGCTGCCAGTAGCAATGTAATATAAGAAGCTGGAAAGTCCCTAACGGCCCGACTGGAAGGGAGGTGGATGTGTCCAACAAACCCCGGACTTTCACCAGGAGCCCACTGTTGGCTTTCGGTGTAGTGTTGAGCCAAACTATAATGTTTTTTGTTTTTTTTACCTATCCATGTGCTCTTGCTGTACAAGGCACTTAACGTAAATACAAGGTGTTTACCGACATTGTACATTTATTTGACACATTTCTTGTGAAAATGGAAGTGTATTTTGAAAAGACACAATGAAGTGTAAGTAGACACTGTGTCCCACAAATTCAAAACTAGACATAGAAGGATACCTAGCACGTCACAGGCCTGAGTAGATGTGAACGTCCATTGACAAAGCAGCAATATTTAACGAGATGGGAAGAGAACATGCTGGTAAAGCCCAAAATCTCATTAGGTTTCTGTGTCTCATAATAAAATAAGTGAAGAAACAGAGTCCTTCCCACAGTTTGAATCCTAAAGCAACATAATGGTGCAGCTGCTGTTTGGCAGCATGTTGGAATGAAGCTATTTAGCCTGCGCTGGCCTTGATGGCCTCAAACTGTTACATATTTGTTTTAACAGTGAGGCTAAAAGAGGCAATTCTGCTCATGATGTGTCCTCGCTAACAGCCAAACATGAATGCATGGAAGCTGCTTGTGTCCAGATATTTTTAGAGCTCATATATATCTGTGTGATTGTTTGCGCTCAGTATCTTTTTCCCACTTGCTGTCTTCTCATTATATCTGCAGGAGCCAGAGATTGAAAGCCTGGCAGCCATCGAGTCGGAGCTTGAAAACGTTGCCCAGAAACTCCACGAGATGCGGCGAGGCTGAAGACAGAGAGAGAGAGAGAGAGAGAGAGAGAGAGAGAGAGAGATTGGTTAAAAAAAAAAAAAAAATGTTGACACCGCAACCTCCTCTGCCTCCTCGTCCTCCTCCGCTTTACCACCTGCCTGGTCTCCACAGTTAGAGCGTCTGAATATGTGACAAGATTTTATCTTTCGCTATTTTTCCGGAGGATGCCCACTTGCGCCAGACTGCTGCAGCCTCCCCTGTGACATCCTGTCCCTCACATAGATTAGCAAAGAGTAGACGCACACAGCAGCTAGACACGCATACTAAAAACACACAGTTCTGTGCATTCACACACATGCATATAATATTCAAAACTCTCTCTGTCAGTGAAGGTCGACAGCTTGTTTTCCTTCTTTCTCTCTGACAATCATCTTTCTCTTTCTTCAAGACGCCTGCTTTTCACATCATTTAACACACTGATTTGAGTGAAAGGTTGACGGAGACGCAGGTAAACACACACCAACGAGGTGAGGATGTACAGTAACGGCATGTATACATGTACAAAGCTCTTTCTGGGATGCTTACTTACTTATGGAGAAGCAGATAAAGATGACGTAGATGCTTACTTATTATAGATAGTTGATTCTAATCAAGCCAAGGCAATAAGTGAACATTTTTAGCAGATTAATGAACTGTAATAATTTCTGTAAGAAAACCAATAAATTGAATAGTTTAAGTGGAAATCTCTGTTTTTGGTAAATCATTTTAATGCCTCTAAAATCTAATGGTTATTTGCATAAGAGAATTAATGCAATAAACTCAGCGTACTAACAAATTTACAACTGTGTAGGCATCTTAATGGACTGTTTAACTGCTGCGATTAATGGCTCTTGTATCACTTCCATCACAATACAAGTACAAATTGTAAAGACAAGTTAATTACCAGAGTGCAGATTCATTCAGTACTGTGTAACATATTCAGATACTGTTTATATTTTTACTCAAATAGCCCGTACTGAACACTGTAAAGTGACATCGATTCACATTGTAGTCTGGAGTCTGCACTTGTGTTTGTGGGCGCAGAAGCTGAGAATATGAATCATCACTCTGACACACAAGCTGTTCATACAGCACATTCAAGACGACGACATTTTAACCCTTAGTTTTGGCATCAGCGCTGCATTATTCATCTGTTGCTACTATTAAGAAGAAAAGAGTCAGTGTAGTGAATCATACAGTGCGGTATTAACAGGATTTGTATTTGGACTGTTGAGCAGGAGTTAAAAAATAATGGATTGGAAGGAAGTGAGAAAAGAATGTGGGCAGAGGAGAAACTGAAAATCCAAAAAAAAAAATTCTGTTTCCTCTGGCAGCTTCAATAAACAGAGCTGCTAGACACATCTGAAAACTGAAACTGTTAAGAGGATCTGTGTCTATGTACAGTTTGTACTCTCCAGCACCAATATATGCAAATACAAAGTCTTCAAGGGGTAGATCAGATCTTTTGAAGTGGGGTTACATGAGGTACTTATCCATAGTCAGTGTGTTGCCTACAGTAGATGTCAGTCGACACGCCCCCAGTTTAGTGAAGCCGGCAGGAGTCTGACACACAAGCTAAGCAATGTACTGAAGGGCTGAGCAACAAAATGTATTTTAGCCACCCGAAATAAGCAACATCAGTTAAAGTGTGCACTATATTTAGATTATTTTCACTGCTTTACCTTGCCGTCAGATAGCGACTTCCAACAGGGAATTGAAGCCATTATATCACTCTCCTCAAAGCCAGACTCCATTGAAAAAAACAGTAATTTAACATGGCTGAACACAGGAGCTGCTGGTCTACTGCTGCCTCCATCAGTTAAACTGTTTGTGTTATTGTGTGACTTTGACGTTGTATAGGGTTAGTTCAGATTCACCAAGCTCACACACTAACTCAAACTATTTAAACTGATGGAGGAAGTGGACCAGCAGCTCCTGTGTCCAGCGATGTTAAATTACCGTTTTTCTCAATGGAATCTGGCTTTGACAAGAGCATAGATGGGGAACTGAAGCTGTTGACAGCTTCCCCGTCAGAAAGGGTTGTCTGAAGAGAAGGTGAAGTGGTGAAAACGCTCTCAACATCGTGTACACTTAAACTGTTGTAGAATTCTTTTAAGTGGGACATTTTTAGGTGGCTAATACTGAGCATAGCGTTAGCAATGTCAAGCTCAGCTACATCAGCTGATCTCAAACAGTCCAATCAACTGACGGAGCAGCTGGTTGATGGAAGGGAGTCAGCTGATAGATCACATGATTCCTTTCTATGCAACCGAATCTCATTCAGAGCACCCTATTTAAACTACTTTAAACCTCCTGTTGCTGCTTCCTCTGCAAGCTGCTTTGCAACATGCCTCCACCCCAGCTCCTCCTTTTCGTGCTGTCATTTCTGTTTGTCATTGATGCTGCTCTGTTCTGTTCCCGGGGTCTTTGCTGCTGCTCTTCCTGCCTTAGGCTTTCCATGTAGACGCATGGAAGGGCAGGGAGATGTGCTCTCTCTGCCTCAGGCTTTCCTCGTATGCGCCTGGAAGGGCAGGGAGACGTGCTCTTTCTGCATTAGGCTTTCTGTTTAGGCCCGAGGAAAGTTTTCTTTTACTAAAATGTTCCTGACTGAAATATATTTTAGTTGCTGCAACTCATCCACAGCAGTACATTGCTTATAGCTTCTCTGTCAGCATTCCTGCCACTTCTCCAAACTGGGGGGCCAACAGACATCTACTGTATGTAATACAGTGACTGAGAATACAGATGTTCCTCAACCCCACTTCAAAAACTGTGAACTATCCCTTTAAAAAGCCTAAATACAAAGAGGAATGCATGATAAGCAAAGAATTGCTAAAAATCAGGTGGTTTTGAACGACAAAATTATTAACAAATTTAACACGCTATAGAAATGGTGGAATTATAATTTTAAGTTGACAAAGAAAAAGAAGAGCCAGGTTTGACTTTATAGTTAACCCCTGAACAACTGAACACAACAGCCACTGATGTCACGTCATTGCTGTGTCCTGACTGTAACCACACAGTCTGTACAGAAGACAACACTTGTCAGACATATTATATTAAGAACTTTATGCAGCAAAGCATTGTACTGATTGAGCACTTTTTTAATACTGTTGCTAAGGAAGATTTATTTTAGGCTGTGAAGCTGAACATGTTCATAACGAACAAAATGAAAAGGGCACCAGATGGCGACATTAGACTGACTCAGTCCTCTTTTCCAAAGGTGAGTGCTGTCAGCAAAGGGAGATTTGAAATGCAACAGTAGTCAGGTTGGCACATTTCTTTTTTGTTCTCTGGAACCAAGGTTTATTTATAACATGGAAGCCCTTTTCTGTCAGCGTGACGAATAAAAAGATCCTGTAAGTCATCACAATAAGAAACTGTCCAGAACAATGACGAACTTTCTTGAAATGACAAAATGACAAACTTGTCTCCAAATCATGGTTTAGTATCTCATTATTCTGAGATACTAACTTAGTATTTTGAGAAAGTTTTTCACTCCAGTTACTTACAGGAATTTTTTTTCAACACACGGGTGGAAATGGGTTTCATTATTTATTCCATCTGTCTTATGTAAGAGAAAAATGCTTTGCAATAATGCATAAACCAATACATTTAAGATTTCCTCTTAGAGTTCAGCTAACTAGATGAATAGGGAGCAGTTAAGTAAACAGCCACCAGTTCTGTGCATTATTCATGTTGTTTGCTGTATACATATTTTAACCCTCTTTGTTTACTGAAGGAGGCTTTACAGTAAATGATGTTACATAATCTTAAGCAGGAAGTGGAGGAACAAACCAACGTATGTTATTTGTGCGGTGGGATTAAAACTGTATTGAATCTTTAGGGGAGACAGGGTATGGTTGTAACACTTTTGTCTCAGCACCTCTGAACTTCTGTGTCAGAGCTCTCAAATTTAAGTACCCTTAATATACATCTACTACATATTGCAAAGTTTCTAACTTCTCAGTTATGTCACAGAATTCATACACTGATGTCAAATACAAGGAATTCCATTCATGGATGGATAACTGGACGGCCCTGCAAGGCACATGCCCGAGGGCTCAAAGTGTCAGGGGTCCAACTGGCCTTCACCTGCAAATGTCACTCAAAATACCATGAGCATGTGAAGAAGAGACTCTAATCCAATCCAATCCAATCCAGCTTTATTTATAAAGCGCTTTAAAACAACCACTGAGGTCCCAAAGTGCTGTACAGAGAAAATAAGAAGCACTATTAAATACACAATAGGTTGAAATACACAGTTTGCACAATTAGAAAATAGAAAATGTAAAAAAAAACCACACATAAAAACAACATCTTACACAGTGTTAAAAGCCAGGGGAAACAGGTGGGTTTAAAGAAGATTTTTAAAAACAGGCAGTGAGGATGCCTGCCTGATGTGCAGTGGCAGATCGTTCCATAGTTTGGGAGCTGCCACAGCGAATGCACGATCTCCTCTGTGCTTGAGCCTGGTTTTAGGCACTGTCAGGAGCAGCTGGTTAGCTGACCTGAGGGAACGGGTGGGCATAAAAGGCTGTAGCAACTCAGAGAGGCAGGGTGGGGTAAGGCCGTTAAGAGCTTTAAAAGCAAATGAAATAATTTTAAAATGGATCCTAAAATGAACTGGCAGCCAGTGAAGTGATGCTAAAATTGGTGTAATGTGCTCATGCTTGCGTGTACCAGTTAAAAGTCGTGCAGCGGCATTTTGTACCAGCTGCAGACGAGCAATGGAGGACCCATTAACCCCCACACATACAGTGACCACAGATAGATGCAAATAAACTGCAAAGAGACACAGAAGAACTAGAAAAAGAGCCAAAACTAGCACAAAGACTGAAAATTAAGTCAAAGTGACATAAAACCACAAAAGGATGCATAATGCCTACAAAGAAATGCAAAACCATCATAATGTCTATGTGCTATGTCCCTGTGTAGGAGAGGTGGTGGGGCCTTTTGCATATCTGTGCCCTCAGGCTCATTGTCTCATAACCACCAGTGGTTCCATTGTCTCAACCTGGGGTACAGTGGCATGCAAATGTTTGGGCACCCCTGGTCAAAATTTCATTTACTTGTTGAGTAAGCAGACAATGACCTGATATCCAAAAGGAATGAAGTTAAAGATGAAACATTTCTTCAGTATTTTCAACAATATTTATTAAAGGTGTGGTTTTATGGGAATATGGGGCCAGATTGTCTCGCCTTTGAACTGGCAGTGGAGGTAGTGACAGCGCTAAATTAGTCTCTACATACAGACTCTACATCCAGTGAAGGTAGAGTCTGTAGGCAAACCCCAGAGATCTTGCCTCCAGAAGAAGAGCAGAAGAGCCCTGGTTTCCGGTTGTAGGCTGTTTGTAGTCTGCATGATATTGACCAATCACGTTTGAGCCAGCTGCAGTTGTTGCCAGGTTAAACGCTCCGTGCGGTGAACTAACGAGGCGGAACATAATTGGTGTCACTGCAAACTCTGAATCGTCAGAAACGGAAATTCGCCTCCTCAAACCGGAATGCCAAAACATCGGGGGTCTGCCCCCAGAGGCTGTATCGCCGTCTGCCGGAAGTCAGACGCTGAATACAACCGATGGGTTCCAAGAATGGAGCTAAATCAACATCTATGTAAAAGGGACAGACGGCAAGACGGGATCATGAACGGGAAGGGTGTGACGTTTTGTTGACCCGTTTATGTGTGCAACCTACAGCCAGT